GGGGAAAAATACATGTTTTTATTTCAATGAGTAAATGAGAAGCGTCAGCTTTTAGGACTCAAGATCGAAAATTATAAATGGGCCTTTTCTAAAAAGCACTATAGGTCCGCTCTTGTGATTTAGGCTATGAGTTGATCTGTAGCTACAAAGGTCCCTCCTCAGAGCTGCTCTGAGAGGTAAGCCTGGGCCCTGAGCTCCAGCTCGCAGGTGGCTTTCCTGCCCTGCTCCGCCTTCAGTTCTGAGCCATCACCTAGGTTATGTTGCACTCAGCAGAGCACTTTCCTGAGACTTTTCATTAATCCTTTTTGTCCCCATGAGATCTTGAACTCTGCAATGTTAGCAATTTCATATGACTCTAGAACTGAAAGCTAGGTCAGGATTTTGAGCTCTACACTCTTCATCCTACTGTTTACCCAAGCTGAAGTTTAGGCTACCAGCAGCTATAGCCTTCAGCCTTCTTGTTAGTGGAGTAAAATGCAGATATTTGGAATTTGGAAAATTAGAGGTTTTAAAAATTTATTTATGTGTTTATTATAAAGGACTTATTAAATAATTTAACAAATTAAATAAGTATGGTCCAGAGAAAATCAGTGATTTCTGATGAATGATAACAATCTATAATATATTCAAAACGAAAGCTATTCCACAAAGCTAGTCAAGATGAAGGATAGAAGAGTACACAGAAGTGACTTTCTGTATCATCCAAAGTAAGTCGGTTAGGTAACAGATAACCCAACAGTTTCAGTGACTTAACAATTATTTTCCATGCGTTCCACTAGGGTTTTCCAGAGCCAGGTTCTTTTCCAGCAGTGGCTGGGCCATTCTTCTAGACAAGGGTCAGAAAACATTTTCTGGAAAGTGGCAGATAATAAATATTTTAGGCTTTGCAGGCCAGAGGGTCTTTATTGCATAGGCAATATAGAAGCAAATGAGTGAGGTAGTTTTCAATAAAGCTACTAATGAACACTAAACTTTGAATTTGTTAAAATTTCATGCATCACAAAATATTATTCTTTTGTTTTTCAACTATTTAAAATGTAAAATCTTTCTTACCTCACAGCAGTACAGATGCAGGCACTGGTTGACCAGAATTACCCATAAGGCCATGCAAGATAAGTGGGGTGTGGAGAGTATGCTGCTTTACATGAACAATCAAATGAAATTGCATAGGAAGGAGCAGCAGCATCTTTGCCATAAAATAATTTTTCACTTTTCCATTCTTACCTGTACTTAAGACTTCACTCTTTTTTCATTTCCCTTCCCCAATCTGAATGGTTCAACTTCCCTAATTTTACCTATTTTGGTAGGATCTTTTTTCAAATATTATCTTGAAGATTTTCTTGGACTAGTCGATCACCAAATATAATCTCCTTCCCTAAATCACCAGAGAAATCTGAATCATTACATCATTTGTTTTACCCCATAGAATGGATATTTATGAACTTTTCTTCTTCTCACCACAAGATTATAAACTCCCTGAGAGTTGGTACTACTCATATTTTTTTATAACAGTTATGAAATGCAACACATATGCTGTAAACTTCACCCTCTTTAAGAGTATAATTTAATGTAAAATGGTACAACTGCTAAGGAAAGCAGTATGGCATTTCCTCAAAAAATTAAAAATAGAATTATCATATGATCTAGAAATTCCACTCTTGGGTATATCTCCAAGAGAAACGAAAGCATGCTCACAAAAACTTGAAAACTTTCAAGCAGGAACTTGAAACGATATTCATGCACTCATGGTCATAGCAGCATCATTCAAAATAGCCTAAAGGTAGAAAAAACTCATGTCTCTTGACAGGTGAATGGATAAACAAAGATGCTGTCCACACACACAAACACATACACAATGGGTTATTACGCAGCCTTTAAAAAGTAAGAGTTTCAGACACATACTACCGCATGCATGAACATTGAAGATAGTAGGCAGAGTGAAAACAATGATAGGATTCCACTTCCAAGGGACCCAAAGGAGTCGAAATCACAGATACTAAGAAGTCGAATTGCGGTTGTCAGGGAGAGAGAAGAGCGGGGGAGTTATTGTTCCAAGGGTATAGAGTTTCACTTTTACAAAATGAGTTCTGGAGACAGATGGTAGTGCTGGTTGCACAACAGTGTAAATGTTCACTAAATGCCACTAAACCTACACATTTAAAATAGTTAGGATGGCAAGTTTTAGGATGTGTCTATTTTATGACTAAATTTTTTTGAAAATACAAATGAACCACCTCACCAAAGCAAAAAAAAAAAATACACTTATGGTGTTTTGGATATTTCTAAAGTTGTGTAACCATTGTAACAATCAATTTTAGAACATTTCTATCACCCTAAAAAAATCCCTATCTCCATCAGCAGTCATGCCTCATTACCCTTCTCCCTACCCCACTTGAAATCCCATTAATCTACTATTTGTCGCTGGATTCAAATAATCTGAACATTTCATATCTATGGAGTGATATAAGCCGTGGCCTTTTGTGTCCACCTTCTTTAACTTAGCAGAACATTTTCAAGGTTCAGCCACCTTGAAGTTTGAATCAGTGCTTCATTTCTTTTACATACAAATAATAATCTACTTTATGGATATATCACACCTTGTTTATCCATTTGCCAGTTGATAGTTCGGTTAGTTTGTATAATGCTGCTATGAGCATTTATACATTTTGTGTGGTCATATTTCAATTCTCTGAGGATATATATGCACCTACCTACTAAGGAATATATTTGTGGGATCATATAATAACTCCATATTCAAGATTCTGAGGAATTTATAAACTCTTTTTCACAGCAATTGCAATCTGCTAGCTCTCAGGATTCTATTTCTCCATTTTGTCTTATGGAGAATTTATTATTGTCTGCCTTTTCAGTTATAACTATCTTAGTGGATATGAAGTAGTAGCTCAGTGTGGTTTTGATTATCATTTCCTCAATGACTAATGCCATTAAGTATCTTTTCACATGCTTATTGTCCATTGATATATCTTCTTTGAGGAAGTGTTTATGGGTCCCTTTGCCTAACTTTAAATTGAGTTGTCCTTTTATGTTGAGTTGTTCTGTATTTTTTTCTAAGTCCTTTGTCAGATATATGAGTTCTCCCATTCTGAGTTCTCATCCACTCTCTTTAGTGTACTTTGGAGCACATTTTTTAAAAATTTTAATGATGCTCAATTTATCTTTTTTTTTTAAGTTGCTTGTACTTTTGTGTTATTTCTAAAACCTACTGCTAACTCCAAAGTTATGAAAATTCTATAGTTTTAGTTCTTCTGTGATCAATTTTGAATTAATTTTTGTATATGGTAGGGGGTCCAGCACTTTATACATGTGACTCTCTAGATGTCCCAGAAACATTTGTTGAAAAGACTATTCTTTCCTTATTGAATTATCTTGGTACCCTTTCAAAAACATCAGTTGACCATATGTGTACCAGTTTATTTTAAGATTTTTAATTTTGTTGCATTGACCTAATTCCTTAACCTTCTGCCAATACCACATTGACTTGATTATTGCAACCTAGTTATAAGTTTTGAAACTAGAGTGATTCCTCTGACTTTGTTTTTCTTCAATATTATTTTGATTATTCTGGATTTCTATATAAGTTATCAGAGAAGCTTATTAATCTTTACCACAAAACAGATTTTTGATCAGGATTGCATTAGATCTGCAGATCAGTTTGGGTAATATTGCCACCTTAACCATATTAAGTCTTCTCATCCATGAAAGGGATGACTTCACATTTATTTCAGTCTTCTTTAATTTCTTTCCAAAGTGTGTCCTAGTTTTTGGTGTTCAAGTCTTGTAATTTTTGTTAATTTTTTATGTAGTATTTTATTCCTTTTGGTGCTTTTGTAAGTAGAATTGTTTTTTAATTTCAGATTCATATTCAGAATGTCATATTTAGTGTTTGAATATAGAAATAAAACAGACTTGTGTATATCGGTCTTTATCCTATAACTGATGAATTTACATTTTAATTCTAATTATGTGTGTGAATTCTAATCATTATTTTACTCTCTAGAACATTTAACATAGTGCCTAGCCTTAACTAATATTCAATTCATTTGTACTCCTTGAATTGATCTCTTTCTGTGCCACATTGTCACAGAAACCTTCCATCCACTGAAAGATTTTTCAGTTTTCAAGACTATGAAGTCATTGTTTTTCTCCATTATTCTTATCTGCAGGCTTGGGGACAATGGGACGAGGCATTGCCATTTCACTTGCAAAGGCCAAGATCCCTGTGATTGCTGTAGAATTAGACAAGAAGCAGTTAGAAACTGCAAACAAGATAATAAACTCCATCTTGGAAAAGGAAGCATCCAAAATGCAGCAGAGTGGTCGTCCCTGGTCAGCACCAAAACCCAAGTTAACTACATCTATGAAGGAGCTTAACAATGTAGATTTAGTCATAGAAGCAGTATTTGAGGATATGAATCTGAAGAAGCAGGTTTTTGCTGAACTTTCAGCTGTGTGCAAACCAGAAGCTTTTTTGTGCACCAATACTTCAGCCCTGGATATTGATGAGATTGCTTCTTCCACTGACCGTCCACATCTGGTTATTGGTACTCACTTTTTCTCGCCAGCTCATGTCATGAAGTTGTTAGAAATTATCCCCGGCCAACAATCTTCCTCCACTACCATTGCCACTGTTATGAACTTATCAAAAAAGATTAACAAATTCGGAGTAGTTGTGGGCAACTGCTTTGGATTTGTTGGGAATCGAATGTTGTTTCCTTATTACAATCAGACATATTTCTTGCTAGAAGAAGGCAGTTCACCAGAGGCGATAGATCAAGTGCTAGAGGACTTTGGTTTCAAAATGGGACCGTTTAGAGTGTCTGATCTTGCTGGGTTGGATATAGGTTGGAAATCTCGAAAATGGCAAGGTCTCACTGGACCTACATGCCCTCCAGGAACTTCTCCCCGAAAGCGAGGTAACAAGAGATATTGTCCAATTCCTGATATGCTATGTGAATCAGGACGATTTGGCCAGAAGACAGGAAAGGGTTGGTACCAATATGACAAGCCATTGGGTAGGATTCACAAACCTGATCCCTGGCTTTCCGAATTTCTATCACAGTACAGAGAAACTTATCATATCAAGGCACGCATCATTAGCCAGGATGAGATCCTTGAGCGCTGCTTATATGCACTCATCAATGAAGCCTTCCGTATCTTGGGAGAGGGGATAGCTACTAGCCCAGAGCACATTGATGTTATCTATTTACATGGGTATGGGTGGCCAAGGCACAAGGGTGGACCCATGTTCTATGCTTCCACAGTTGGGTTACCCACAGTGCTAGAGAAGTTGCAGAAATATCACAGGCAGAATCTCGATATCCCCCAGCTGGAGCCATGTGACTATCTTAAAAAACTGGCTTCCCAGGGAAACCCTCCTCTGAAAGCATGGCAAAATTTGGTAGGACCTCTCAGCAATAAATTGTGATTTCAGTTTGTGCCTCGCATAAATTATGCCAGGTTATGCTTCATGTACTGACGTCAGGTAATATTCAGATAATTTCATTGAAATGCAATCCAAAGATCCAGAGTTAGATTACTCTGAAGTACAAAAACTATATAAATAATTTGTCAGCTAATTGGCTCTTCTGTGTGGTGATTCTCATGTGTTAAATCTTTAGGAATGTACTTTCTGTGCCTCTGAATCTGTCCCTGTCAGATAAATAATTCCAATTCCAAAGATTAATCTTGTGCTAATACCATGTAGATAAGGAGAGAGCTGCAAGAATAAATTTAGGCTCCAAAGTGCTTTGCTCATTAGAAAAATATGTCATCAATTAATAACTGATAAATACAATGAACATAAATTTATTTGGACCCCTTTCAACTTTACATACACTACATTGGTAGGAAAACTAATGGATCCTTCATTCAAAAAACATTCATTATATACACCCCGAGCATTTTACATAGCACTTAGCACATTTAGAGCCTTGAAGGGTATTAACCCAACACAGAAACCTGTGATGAGGTTCAAACCATAATCTGGAGGTGGGAGATGGCTAGGAGGATAGAGTCAGCAGTAAGGGCGTCTGCAAATGAGCACGGAAAGTTTCCCAAGGAAAGGCAGAGGTTGTCGCCAGAAACAGAGGCAGGGTATCAAAGGCAAAACTGTTAATGTTATCAGCAAAACACAGGTGAGCACTGGTAAAGGAACCAAGTACTTCAGACCAGAATGGGAAATGCTGGTAACTTGGCAAGTCCTGCTCAGTGTATCACTCTATCCAAGGCTGTCACCTTGCACAATTGTGCTTGCTGTTTGGTAGGGTTAAATAATGTTGTAAATTTCCTTAAGACCAGAGGATGGCTCTAATCTCATCTTTCTTTACCATTCTATTCATGGAGAATATAAACTAAGTTGCTGATTTAGTATAAGAAGGAATCTTTGAGAACATCTAACCACCTGATTATGTGATAGAGGAATGATGCCAATATCCCTGTCACAATAAACTTCTGTGATGCTAGATATGGAAATGGTTGAGTCTTGAAAACATAAGCTTATTGTACAACAAATTTTATATAATTTTGTTATGAGTATTTTTCTTTTAACCTTTGCTTTGTATTGTTAAAAGTCAAGAGGCTGGTCAACACAAAAATTTGTACATAAATGTTTAGAGCAACATTATCCATAACAGGCAAAAATTAGAAACAACTCTACTGTCCATCAGCAGACGAATGTATAAACAAAAGTATGGAAGAGCCACACAATAGAATATTATTTGGCCATAAAAAGGAAGTGAGGTGTTGATGTATGCTACATCCTGATAAGCCTTGAGAATATTAATGCTAAGTGAACGAAGCAATCACAAAAGCCATATATTTCATGGATATTTATATGAACTGTTCCAAATAGGCACATCTACACAGAGAGAAGGCAGATTGGCAGTTACCTAAGGCTAGAATGATGGGGGGTTGTGGGCTGGGAGTAACTGATAATGGGTAGAGTTTAGGGGAGGTTATTCCAATGTTCTGAAATGATTGTGGCTATCTGAATTTGTGAATCTATTAAAAATCATTGAGTTGTACCACTATGGAAAGCTGGAGGTTCCTCAAACTGCTAAACATGGAGCTTCCCTACGACCCAGCAATCCCACTCCTAGGTATCTACCCAAAAGACACAAAAACACTGATTGAAAAAGATACCTGCACCCCCATGTTTATTGCTGCTTTATTTACAATTGGAAAAACATGGAAGCAGCCCAAATGCCCAAAAGTAGATGACTGGATAAAAAAGATGTGGTACATATATATACAATGGAACATTACTCAGCAACAAAAAAGAGAAACACATGTCTTTTGCAGCAACTTGGATGGAGCTGGAACAGATCATGCTTAGTGAGATAAGCCAGAAAGAGAAAGAAAAATACCGGATGGTTTCACTCATAGCAGGAGTATAATGGACCATGCGAGAAAATATCAAAAATAATGAACAACCATATACCAGAGACATTTTGTGGGGGTGGAGTGGGGAAATGGATCAAAAATGGGGGGGGAGGGAAGTGCACGGGATTATGGTGATGGGACACGGGTGATTTGGTGATGGGAAACCCGCGGGGATTACAATTGAGATGGGCAAAAAATGTACAAAATGATGTAAAAATAAACTGTTATGATAAAAATTAATTAATTAATTTAAAAAATCATTGAGCTGTAAGCTTTTAAGAAGGTGGATTATATGGTATCTAAATTGTATCTCAATAAATAAGTTAATAAATAAATGGATTCCAGTTGTTGTCCTTCAGTGTCATATAAATGAACTGTTTTTATGACATTTTCATCTCTGAACCCAAACGTAATTATCAAAAGTTCTGAAAGAGAAATCTTGGATGACTATAGTGTAAGTTTCTCATTGTAAAAATACAAACAAAACCCTCTTAGGCCTTGGACTGTATTGCGATTTCGAAAAAGCTTTGAAATGCATAACGCTGGGCTTGATATAAACTGAACCTTGAAATTAAATAAATAGAAAAGACTCTTGAAAGCAGTAACTTGCTCTCAAAATGACTCATTTGCAAATTAATGTTACCCCAACCCCACACACATACAAGTGTGGACCTGAATGGATTTTGCGTTCTTAAAACCAATTTTCAACCTACCCTCTAGAATGGGATTTTGAAACTAGAGGGTTTGTAACTATATTTTATGAGTCAATAATTTCTTAAATTTTACATTAATATTTGTGTATATGTAGCTGAGTACATTTCTTACCAGAGGTGCCATAACTTACATTATATTCTCAAAAGCATCTATGACCCATTAAAGGATAAAATTAATTCTCCAAATGGGAAGAAGAATTATGATTTCATTTGTTCGTATGTACTTCAAAGGATGAAAAACTAATTCTAACTTGTTAGTAATTTGTATATAGGTTGGTACCTACAGCCATGGCTGATACGGTGAAACCTTTCCAAGGTATCTTATCCTACCCTTGAAAATGCACTTAAAAGTATTTAGTGTTAATAATTTAAAAACTATACTCTTTTTTCATAAACACCTTCTGAGTGACATTTTAAAAATATGTTCTAATGGCAATTGACTATGATGGTACTATAAATCAGAAGCACCCTTGAAGCTCTGCCATAATACTGGAGCTTTAAAGATGAGACTAATGATATGCCTTAAATCAGCAGAGGCACTCTGCAGCTGCAGTTGCTGTCGACTTAAGTCATTTCGAGCAGGAACAGGTGTGTGAGGGAGAGATAAAGTGAGGAATCCTAAACTCCTCTGATTAATGGTGTTACAGAGTCGTTTATGCAAATCATACTGCACAGCACTGTAGGAACCTGGAATTGCGAAGGTCTTCCATTTGTCTTCAAAACAGACATCTAGAAATTAGAAATATTGCAGGCTTAAATAGTACCCTTTTGGCAGTCATTAATGAAATGAATATAAATCAAGTTCACTGTGATCTGTTTAAAAACAGCTTTCTACAAGAACAGAGTAACCTTTGACTGTTTTTGGGACTTAAGTGCCATCTGTTTATCTTGCCACCTTGTAACGATTTGCGATTAACAGGCAAGTTACACTACTTCCTGGCAGGTCGACATCCTTACACACTGTACTGTGCTCCAAGGGTTGCGTTTCACGTAGAGCTAGTGTGAATAGCGCCCCCTAGAGTTCAGTCTATTTCCAGGCTACACGGTAAAGACGTTTCAAAGCAAGAACCCTTTGTTCTGTTTATTATTACTCTAAGTAACGTTCTCAACAAAAGTTGTTGACAAAAGTAGAGGGGATGTCAACATTTAGATCGGTGTCTCCAACGGGAACAAATTTGTTAGAAGTCGGTTCTACTTCGTATTTTTTTAGCACCTTGAGAAAAAGGAACTTGAGATGAGTAGGGTTTTAACTCTTGTCTAAAAACTCCCAGGGCATGTCAGATATAATAGTTACTTGTTCTCTGTACCAAACACCCTAAGAGAACAAGGGCCTGAACGCATCTGCTAAGCAAATGGGGGTGGGACTGGGGAGCCAGTCTTACCCATGACACCTTTCACTGCAGTCAGGTTTATTTCACCTTCTTAAAGGGGTCACAGAAACAGTTGCTAATGCTAGCTGTAATGTGGGATCCTCAGGATATAGCAGGGCAAAACCTCCAGCCAAATCCTAAGTGTACTCATACTGCCTCCCAATGGTCCTTTGCTTTTGTAGTATAAACGTCCCAATATAAACAAAGCCTTTGGTTGCTCAGAATACACAATATATTTATCAGTATCTCTTGCATCCGGTTGTGAACAAGTGACTGAGATCTAGACAACAGGAGTGGGGATGTCACATGACAACGTTTGGGAACCTGCCTTAAGTATTGGATGATGTGCCTGCTTCTTTTCATTCCTTCCTCTTAGTACCTGGAACACAGATGTGATGGTCAGAGTTTGACCCTCTATAGAGGACCAAGGTCATGTCCAAGGGGTAGCAGAATGGAGGCTCTGAAGAGGTGGGTCCTGAGGGCCTCATGTTGCCGAGTGTCTCTGCCTCTCAATAATCATTGATGTGAGAGAGAAGTCATCCCTATCACAGACCAGCCCGTGTCATTGTGGGTCTTAAATTACTCACAGAAGCTCCTCAAAATACAGTTGTGGGGGTTCCACAAATAGCAGTTTTTTTTTGTTGTTGTTGTTTGTTTTTTTCTGTTTGGCTTTTGTTTTTCTCAATGTCAGAGGTAATTCTGAAGCACAAGCAGGTTTGAGAATCAAGTCTCTTTAAATTGTTTCTTGTTGACGAAAGCAATGTTTCTCGCCTTGATCTTGAATTGCTCATACATTTTTATGTGATGTTTCACATGTAATTGTTTCAGGAGGGCATAGAGATGCCCGCTAAGAACTTGAGAATAGGGTTTTAAATCAACACTTAGTAGAAAGCAGTCTCTAACGTCCACTTGAACTTCCAATTGACTCCTACTTAATTAGACCTGAAAACTTTCATAAAGAAAGTATGTATGATCAGGTAGAAAGACAGTCAATGAAGAGTAATTAGAGAAGCAGTATTCTCAGCATTGGCCAAAAGGAAGATTGCTAAATTTGGGGTGTCCAAACCCTCTACTCACTAGATCAGAGATCTCCGAAGTGGGTGCCCTACCCAAGACAGTATGAAGGATGAGCCATAGAGGTACAGGCAGAACATATTAGAATTACTTGCTACTTATTTTTGCCTAAAATGTGAGAAGTTAATATTCATTTATATTTCATGTCCATATGGACACAACATCATCCCAGATTGCATCTCATGCAGCCAAATATTGGAATGAAATATCCTAAGGAATGGAGTTTAGTTTAAAAACATGGAGAGGTTGACAGAAGCATCTTCCTTCTTTAATTGGCTTTCAGTATATAGAGAAATATTGCAAGTTATGTATCCTGAAGTCAGTATTTATTTGTTTCTTGTTTTTTTTTTTTAAAGAGATTTATTTATTTGCCTACAGAACTGAGGTATAGGACAAAGATACGGGGTGGTGAGAGAATTCACCAGATACAGAGTAGGGAGCAGAACAGCCAGATTGACTGAAATATACTGCTGAGGGGAGCAGCAGGTGAGACAGAAGAGGTCTGCTGTGCCGTGTGTGTCAGCTCCAGTGTGGGGATAGAACTTGCACTGAAATGGCTGTGGCCAGCTTCACAGTGCTGCATTTTAACCTGTTGCACTACCAGGGAGGGCCCGTCAGTAGATATTTAGAAAAAATTATTTAACCAAAAATAGTCTCAAAAAGATTCCTTTATATAAAGCACCCTTATAACTGTTCCTTAAAATAAAACACAGTTGTGGTACATATATACAATGGAATATTACTCAGCAACCAAAAAAGAGAAACACATGTCTTTTGCAGCAACTTGGATGGAGCTGGAAAAGATCAT